GTCCCTCTGGGGCTGTGCAGCGACTGAATCAGGACGCCTGAGGCCGAGCAGCTGGGGTGCTGCTGGGTTGCTCCAGTAGCGCCTAGGAGCCGCGCTACTGGAGCAACCCAGCAGCACCCCAGCTGCTCTGCCCCAGGCTTCCTGGAATCAGCCGCTGATCAGTTTCAGCAGCAGCTGACTTGGGGACGCCGGGGTTTCTTAAGTTGAATCTGTATGTAAGTCAGAACTGGCGTCCAGATTCAGCCGTGGTTGAAACTGATCAGTTTCAGCAGTGGCTGACGCCGGTTCCGACTTACATACAGATTCAACTTAAGAACAAACCTACAGTCCCTATCTTGTACGTAACCCGGGGATTGCCTGTATACACTGGCCAGCAGAACCATATCAGGATATCTTTAAGGACACTGCTTTTGAAGAGCCATCAAAGTCAATTCCACGTGGTTCTAAAAGCCACCATGGAATTATTTTTTTTTTTTAAATAAATACATCTCAAAATTAAATTAATATCAAATGCACAATACATTCCTGAATGCCTGGGAATTATCAATAAGAGGGAAGCAAAACTACTAGTAATTCAGGATACAAAGGAGCTAGAAAAGTTTGCCAGTGTAGCCATGCAGAGAAAAACTGCTCACTTTAAAAAGGAAGCAGAGTGAGGGTGGCAGAAAAAAAAATGGTTATCAACCTTTTTGCAAGTGTTGTTCTTTGAGATACAATGGAATGGACATGAGCAGTGTATGTGTGTGCATGCCCTTGTATACAGTCAGAGATTTTTACCTTAGCAGTAACTGTAGGGTTAGCTGTAGCGCCCCCATTTATGCATTGGTATATAAGGCGTTGCCGACAATACACCCTCTCAGGTCCTGCTTGTCGTCAACTCCAACACAGACGTAGGAGGGCGATTAATGGAACGGATATGAACAATACGTCTCAAAGAACAACAGTTAAAAGAGCTCTTTTTCTTCAAGTGCTTGCTCATGTTGATTTCATTCTAGGTGACTCTCAAAAAGTATCCTTGGAGGTGAGTGCAGAGTTCAGACCACCGGCTTGCAGTACTGCTATTCTGAAGTCAGAATCATTCCAGGCCTGCTTGGTAAGTGCATAACGGGATATAAGCATGTGGATGGATGACTAAGTGGCTGCTCTACAGGTGTCCTGGATAGTCACCTGGGCTAGGAAAGCTGTGGAAAAGGCTGGTTACAGGTGGCTGAAGGGAGCACCTTTTGCCTGATCGCAGCAGCAATTAATGAAGGCAGCAGCCCAAGAAAAAAAATATTTGAGCAGACTCTGGGAGTATGTCTAGACTACATGGCTCCATCGACGGAGCCATATAGATTAGGTTTCTAGACATAGGGAAATGAAGCGGCGATTTAAATAATCGCCACTTCGTTTACATCAAAATGGCTGCCGCACTGTGCCGATCAGCTGGTTGTCGGCATAGCGCGGTAGTCTGAACGCTCCGCGGTCGACAAGGGAAGCCCTTGTCAACCGCCCCGTTATGCCTCATGGAAAGAGGTTTACTGGGGCAATTGAGAAGGGCTTCCCTTGTCGACCGCAGAGCGTCCAGACTACCACGCTGTGCCACCAAACAGCTGACCAGCACAGCGCGCCAGCCATTTTGATGTAAATAAAGCAGCGATTATTTAAATTGTTGCTTCATTTCCCTTTTCCGAGTACACTAATCTATATGGCTCCGTTGATGGAGCCATGTTGTTTACACGTACCCTGGATGACTTTCATTCTGTGGGGCATCGCAATGAACAATTGCATCAACCTGCAGAATAGATGGGAGGGTGAGTCATGACATCAAGTGGAATGGGGTCCCTGACTTGTGGGTAGAGGTGCTTGAAACCCTTGAGGAACCTGGCAGTCATGTCCTGGGCAAAAATAGACCTATCCTCAAGTGTCATACAGAAGGTCAAAACAGTGACCAAGTGGACCTTGATAGATGAAAGGGACAGGCCTTGAAGCAGGAGATGAAGAATGTAGTCCAGAATCAACTGCAGGAAGGCCTACTCAGGCTGAATATCTTTATCTGCTGTTCATCAAGTAAACCGCTTCCATTTAGCCAGGTAGATCACCCTGGTAGAGGGCTTTCTGTTGCCCAACAGGAGCTGCTGGACAGTAGCTCAACGCTCCTGTTCTTCCACATTTAACCATTCAGCAGCCAAGCCATCAGATACAGCCCTGCCAGGTTTGGATGCAAAAAACTGTGGTAAACCTGAGCAGCATCCGTAACAAAGCAGTCAACGACAGGTCCAGCAACATACCAAACCACTGATAGGGTATGTCTAGACTACATCCTTCTGTCTCCAGAGGGATGTAAATTAGACATACCAAAATTGCTAATGAAGCGGGGATTTAAGTATCCCATGCTTCATTAGAATAAAAATGGCCACCGCTTTTTGCCAACGCGGCACTTTGCTGGCAACAAGCAGCAGTCTAGATGGGAATCGGTCGACAAGGAAAGCCTTTTCCGACCAGTCCTATAAACCTTGTTGCACGAGGCATAAGGGATCCGTCAGAAAAGGCTTTCCTTGTCGACCAA